GCTCCATATTTCATTTTCCTGAAACAATACAGTCTTTCTCAGTTACTCTCTGCGACCCGAATTATTTGTCTTACATCTTGATACTAAATGGCACATTGCTAGCCAAAAAAAAAAACACCATAGTTCCATGCATACGTGTCAAGATCATGTCGAGCCATGTTACCCTCTCTACTGATCTTGGTCACGTAGAAAAGAAGCAAAGCTTTTCAACATGCCCAGAGCATCTTCATACGTAGGACTACAACTTCTATTCTTCCCTTGCTGTCTGACGACATCCTGTGGATTACAATGTCTATTGTTCCAGAGAACACTCCACAGCGACGCTACTACGACGGGTGTATATATACTAGCAAAACAGTGTGCAGGGTGACGCTTTCACTTATAAAATTTAATGTGACCTTTGTGTTTACTTGTATTTTTTGAATTGGTATCCATTTTGTGATACATTTGAACTCAGGACCACTGTCGTCCTCCGAAATGAGGCGTGTTTGTGGGTATCAGATATATCTCGTGTTATAATGTGATAGCAATTTTTTATATTTACCATCAGTAGACATGTACTCCCTCTGTAAAGAAATATAAGAGCATTTAGATTACTACTTTAGTGATCTAAACTTTCTTATATTTCTTTACGGAGGAAGTAGCTTTCTAGACGTGTAGAGTATTTTAACTGCGCAGTGGTCGTGAGCAAAGTTTACACGCGGAGCATGCAACATCGGAACCGGGAAGTCCTACTCGGATCAACCGAGGCGACTCGGTACCATTAGGGCAGACCAAAGAGTCCAAATACCAAGCAGACATCCAAAAGCAGTACATGCGGCCAAGGGACACGAGAAACAATGTAGAAGATGCGATCAAGTTTAAGAAGAAGAGGAATAATCACATACACTTGTCTCTTCCTCTTTTGCACCCCGGTTCGCCTTTTTCTTCCCTTCTCCCAATGTGATTGGTAGATATGCTCAAATTTTCACCCCTTGGGGAAAACGGAGGGAATAAAATGGTTGTTCGCTCAATAAATATAAATATATCAGTATTTACTTAGGTACATACCAAAAAATTGAAATTCAAAACCGTAAGGAAAATTCATGCCATAACAAAAACCAGAAATCATAAACACTGTAAAAATGGTTCGGCTCGTTTTATCTCTGCTATGATTTTTGGTTCGGTTTTAAAATGTGTTGAGTTTTTTTTTGAGCCGTTAAAAATGTGTCGAGTGACTAAGCAAAGGTGTGGAGAAGAAAAAACAAGAGAGGGTTCCCTATTTCGAAAATGCAAAGCAGCACAATTTGGGCTTGCGCTTCGGCTTCGGCTTTGGCTCGTCGTGGGCCGTGGCTCACTGCACTGTGGTCATGCCCGGGAAGAGAGTGAGGCGGCAGTCGAACCCCTAGCAGTAGCAGGTAGAAACCATGGCCAGTGAAGTGCCGGCGGCGGCGGCGCCGGCGGAACCTGCGACACTCCAAAGCGACAACACTCCAATGATGGACGTATATTATCAAAACAGCGTGGATGGTGACGTTTTCACTTATAAAATATAATGTGACTTTTTTGTCTACTTTTATTTTTTGAATGATATCCGCTTTGTGATCCATTTGAACTCGGGACCGTTGTCATCCTCCAAAATGAGGCGTGTTTGTGGGTGTCAGATATATCTTGTGTTACAATGTGATTGCAATCTTTTATATTTACCGTTAGTAGACATGTAGCATTTCTTGTTGTGTGGAGTATTTTAACTGTGCGGTGGTCGTGAGCAAAGTTTACACGTGGAGCATGCAACACCATTGCCACATGACCACGTCAGAAGGCGCCTTCATCTGAAAAGAGCGGCTGGATCTTGTCGATTCGGTGGTTTTTTGGCATTCATTGGCTAGGGCCGACAACGATGCACTACAATTCAATCCCTTTGGTGAAGGCATAGTGTGTATAGTACATCTAAGAACAATGGTGATCTAGCCTTCAATAGGCCGCGACCAGCTACGTGCCAGCTCTGTTCATGTCAGCATTTTACGCCCCGCTCGCGTGGTTTGTTTAAGGGCTAAATTAGTAGTAAATTACCCCTAAAAATAGTACTTCCCCGTCTCATAATATAAGAGCATCTGTGACACCACACTAGTGTAGAAAACGCTCTTATATTATGAGACGGAGGGCGTAGTAAATTGTCAGGCGCAGAGCACAAACATTACATTTTGCATGTACAAGGATGCAAGTTAAATTTTCTTTTAAAATTTTCGATGCAAGTGAGTTTGGGAGACTGTATTCTAACTCCACGACGCCTTCCTGGCCGGAAGAGGAGACTAGGCGTGTGCGTGCGCTGGCGACGGCACCTTTTTCTATGGCTGGAGGCGATCGGATGAAGATCTCTGGACAATATTATAGGCATATGGATGCCGATCCCGGGCGATCCTGCCGGATCCTGCCTGCCCCAACCTGTCATCCATCAGGATAGGTCTCACCTGCTAATCCGTAAGACCTGGTCTTATAGAATTTTTTTCCACCTCCAACCACCGCTCGCTGCCCTGCCCAAGTTGCTTCCATCCATCCATGCCGCAAATAGCATAATGCAACGTGCCGCCACCGACCCACCCTGCCACCCTCCGCGACGCAACGCAAACAACAACGCAGCGCCAGCACACGCCCGTACGTGCCACACCTTCAAATTCCAACTACTCCGATTTTTCTACTACAACTTGTACTAGTATTGTGCAAGCTAGTACAGTTTAGGCCAGAGCCACTGGTGGAAAAAGGGCCTTTGGTCGCGGTTCGCAACTGCCATTAGTCGCGGTTGCGCAACCGCGACCGAACGGGCGCGACTAAAGGCCCCCCCCCTTTAGTCGCGGTTGCTTAAGAACCGCGACTAAAGGCCCGTCCACGTGGGCGCCAGGTGGCCGTCGGGGCGGAGGACCTTTAGTCGCGGTTATTCTGGCCAACCGCGACTAAAGGCCGCCGCAGGTTTAGGATTTTAGCCCCCCCCCTTAAACCTGTTTTCTGTTTAATTTGTATTGTTTTATTTCTTTTGTGCTTTATTTTAATTTTGAAGGAGTTTCATATATTCTACGGTACTACATACATGCATATGAATGTACAATTTCAAATAAATTTGAAATTAGAACCAAAAAGAATTCAAGAGGAATATACAATATATATTCAATATCATCGGATGACCATATACAATTTTGAACAAGTTTCCATACATGATTTAATGCATATAAAGTTCTACGTCCTCGTAATAGTGTTCACGAATTTGTAAAAATGTTCATGGATTTGAAAATATGCATTATTTAAAATGTTCACAATTATTTTTAAAAAAATCACAAAATTATCTCTCTCTCTCTGCTCTCTCTCTCTCTGCTCTCTCTCTCTGCTCTCTCTCTCTCTC